TTTTTTTCTAAATCAATATACCGTATTTTCGTGCCAGATATCGCGCAATGGCTAGGGACTGAGGAATCTGTTGCCCATCAACTTCGAGCACAGGCATCTGTTCAAATGGCATCACTAAAATATGAAATTAATTGCTAGAGAAAACTTTGAATTAGATGAACTGAATAAGAAGGTGACTTCAACCAGCAGCGGACCTCTTGTAACTTTAATAGAATTTAATGCTATTAAATCCAACATTTCTCAAAAACTAGTTGGAAATAACACAGTAGCAGTATGACACGCTTCCTACGCCAATTTCAATCATTGTTATATCGATTAAAAAATTCACAAAAATAATAATTTCAGTGAACATGTTTTGATTGTAATGATAAGTTCCTCATTGCGATTGTGAAAATTTAGTAGATAATTGAGATTTAGGAATCTGATTTTCGAAAGAAATTGAGCAAAAACAAGATAGAATTGTACGCTTAAAACTTTTTTTTGCAATATAACAGTCATTAAAGAAAACCACAACAGCTTTTGTATGAAAAAAATGCTTTATCGGAATTTTTCGTAAAATCATCAAAACAGACGCACGAGATAGGAGTTTCTGTGTTGACAACTCGCCAAAATAAGTAATAAGGTAATAACCAGCTAACACCTGTTTTGTCTGCAGGCTTGTTAGAAGTCTCCGATAACTGTCTATAAAGTAAAGGTGTGCAGAGGTCTGTCCCAAGGTTGAGAACACACGGGGGATTCACACATTTTCAATATCTCACTCTAACACTTTACTAAGCGAAGAACTACCTCCTTCGTTAAAAAAAGATGTGGAAGTGCAAGGATTGTATGCAAAATCTTTGAAAACATATGAGAATGTAAAAACTGCCGTATCTTCTCAAGATTTAGGTCTCCGGCGAAAAGCCCCGATTAGCAAGCGCTTCTTTTTTCTCCCCCCTAATTTTGTTTTCCTTCTATCAAACGCTTTTTATGCACCTCTCTACCCAACTTACAGCGCAAAAGCGACCAAAGCGTTTCCCTCTTTACTAGGGTCCTGAGCCGTTCTACCTCAATGAGGAAAACCGCTCCAAGCAAACAGCGCTGCACCACTTGGCCCGTTTGCATGCGTTTCTTCACGTTACCAAGGGAGCTTCGTAATTTGCTGGATTTTCAAGAGGGTTTTTGTTTTTATAGAACCCAAGCGGACCTCGTGACGAAGCTTGGTAAACCTCTTCTTAGGAGTAAAACAAACATGAGTAAGCTATTTTCAACGATAACTCTATATTATTTCTATGGATACAAATTATTTCTATGTGGAAAATTCTAGGAAGTGGAGGGTTAAAAATATACCTGACTTTGATAGCAAGTTGCTATCTTTCATAAAGGGTTATCAAATCGGTTGATTTTCTCAATAGCACTGGACGCTTATGAAAAGCAAAACACAGAAAAGTTATGAATTTCTAAATGAGTTATAAGAGAGCTAATCACTAATAGATAATCAACTGTAGTTTCGCTTATATTTGTGCTATGAAACACAGAGGCTTCTTCGTACTTTTTCATGGCAAAAAATTGCAAACGGCAAAGTGGGAGGGTGGAATAAGTAGTAGGGCCAGAGAACTGTGAATTATTGTCATGTTGTTTTCCTAATATGCATAGTCAATACTCTATCAAAGTGCTGCATTTTTTAAATGAGAAGAGCACCTTTCAAGTACATAAGCAGCCTCTAACGAGTCTGAAAATTCAAGAAAGCGCAGGAGTTTAAGAACTTTCATATGAGATTTTTTCGCATAACAATTAAGAATGCCAGCTGATGTTGAAGATGGAAAACGAGGAAGATTTTCTAAATATGATAATTTGTCAAGAAACCTCAAGAGTTAGTCAACCTATAAATCTTCAGTGCTGAAATTACCATTGTTAACCTGCTATTTGTAGATGTTTTCTGCTTATCCCGAGAACGCTAGCTGATGTAAAATGCAGCTATTTGGGAGTTACAATCAGAAACTGGCATTGAAAACACCAAATACCGTTAGATTAGAAGTTTGTTTCTGTGTCCGCTCTGAGATGTACCCACTTGCGTCTCTGAGTTGAGTTAATCTCAGGATTTTTCGTCGATAAACATTGAAAAAATCAGGAGCCAACGATGTCCTGCATCTCAGATGATTTAAGAATTTTTTGGCATCTTTTACTTTCCCGCTTTCTTTCTCCCTTTTTCTAACATCCCAACAGGTCAGCAAAGGCTTATAAAAAATCCATCTTCTTCAAACGTAGATTCCATGAAAGTGAAGCTATCTTAATTGTCGACTGAAAGAAAAACTTGATGAAGGGACTAACAAGGTTTGATTTCTGGCCACTTATCCTGGGTAACGCGGATATCCTCATAGTGAACGCCAGCCAAAGCGAATATCTGAAAGCACAAACTTATTGGAGCGAGGGAAAGATTTTTTAAAGTCTGCCTAATGCTCACAATTCCCTATCGTTAACATTTCCAATGAGCCGATAATTGCGAATTTAAACTTACCTGTCGAGCTATTTCTCCCAGTCCTCTTCCAGGGAAGTAGTAGAACTTGTATTCCATCCTGAAGCATTCAATGCAAAAAACAGAAGGTCATGTTTACTGCTAGATATTGATTCCGCAAAGCATACATATTTGAAGGAAAGCATGATAAGATAAACTGAACGGGTTGGGCAGTCTTTGTGTCAAAGCCCTTTCATGCAGTCCTCCTTCTCCGGCGGAAAGTTCGGAGTGCATATTTGTCTTCAGAGTACAGAAAGAGACGATAAAAACAAAAGATCACTTGTTGTGGGAAATCAATAAGAGCAGGAGTAAGAGGAAGAAATCGATAATCATCCATAGTACGCTATTCGCTGGACAGTATTTCTTGCTTGTTAAAACCTCGATACTGCTAAAACGATTGCAGGAGATACTAAGGCAATTGGAATTGTAGTCTGTCAGGAACCAAGTTGAGGCAAATTTCAAAGTTTCGATTTCAACTGTACAACACGCGCCAGTCTTGTTGACGCAAACCTTGATAGAGAGGGAAGTACATGACACCCACCCAGACGCCCAATCTCTGATCAACCATATTTTTCCTAAAGTATTCTGCGAGGCGCAAAATGACAAGTACTTCCTCGCGCATCGGCATATCCTTTAAGCGGTTCGTAAATACTCAAAAGAGTTCAAAATCACAGCATGAAGGGAAACGGCAGCAGAATTACTCTGATTCACAGTTGTCTGCAACAAAGGAGAGGCAACAGTCGTAAAGGACTCTCCACTTGGTTCTTAACCAATTTGATGAAGAAAACAGCACAATAGAACAGTCAGTTGTGGGCTTCAAACAAAATGAGAGTGACGATTTTGGATAAATAGATTTTTT